CTGTATGCAGAAGAACATGATAAAATTCCAACAGAAGACATGTACCAACAGACACAAACAACAAAACTGTTGCAATGTGTGCCATAAAAATGCAGAAGAATTTTTTTTTGATAAGTCCATAATGCTAAAGCTTTTTCAGTTGATTTGGAATAAATGGATGAGACAAGCAAGCATAAAATAAACCAGCAGGTGGGTAAGAGGGGTGGAGGGATAGTATAAGAAAAAAAAACAGTAGTCGTCCAGTAGCTAACGATAAGTTCATAAAAGAAGGCTATAATTCGTAAACTGAGAACTGAAGAGAAAAGTAAGTATGTACTTGTAATATTTATCTCAAAATGACATACCTGCAAGTCTCTTTGGTGGCAGCAGGATTGACGTGCTGTATTTCCCAGTGGAACTTCTCGTTTTCATACTTGTACACGAACTTGAAAGCTAATTTGGAGAACTTGATCAAATAAATCTTCTCATTGAGTTCATTCCTGCTGAAGGGAATGTCCACCTTCTCTGCCTTGAGGACAAGATCCAAGTGATTTTCTTCAATGTGCTCGTAGATACCGGTATTACAAGATGTCCACTGACAGCCGAGGGTGGCTTTCATCGGACAATTGTAGGGACTAAACTCACAGAATTTTTCGTGTTCTGCCATGCTGAGTGCCTTGTTGGCAAATTGGCAGCCATATCTTCGGTACCTGCAAGGGTAAGTCATGCACTTGACGACCGCTTCTATGGTAAAGTTCTGGACCCTATCCATGGGGTCTCGGCATATCGGACACTTTTTTTCTTTGGCTGAGCAATCGTCGCAGAAGCTGTGGCCTGTCTTGCACTCAAAGATAGGAGGAAGCATGTATAATGAGCATATGGGGCATTTCAGGTTGGATATTTTTTCCCAATCGATTTTTTCATTGTTCTTTGGTTCAGAAACCTGCAAGAAACGATGCTTTGGCAATATTTTCAAATACAAGGTAAAGAATAAACCTTGTTTTTTTTTATGGAGCTGTAAAACTCACACATAAATTCACTTTCAACTTTTATTGACCATATAGTATAAGATCCGAACCTAAATCGACCTTCACCCAGCTGATAATAGAATGAAATATATTTTATAATGAATTTAGTATATTAGAAAATATGTTGAAAATGGGTTCGCTAAAAAAATCCTGGACAAATATAGAAATTTTTTACTCAGGTTCATTTCTGGTTTTCATTCTATTGGGAAAAAAACCTCAACTTTTTGACAACGCATATGCCAAATTAAAAAAAAAAATGCGTTGTTGACAATTATGGCACTTAGAAACAGGTTGAAGGCAGATGTGTATTTAAGCCTGATCCACGTAAATACTTTCCAGAAAGTAGAAGTAAGCACCTCAATTGTTATAACAACAAATGTAAAACGCTTGTTTAACAGTGGTCAATGCTTATTTTTGAAAGTAGTTGTTTCAGATGTATTTTTTACGGTTTTTATACAAAAAACTCCTGTATGTGGAAACCATTCTTAATGATGTATGAAGTAATAATTTTTTTATATGCCTCAATAGCTTTCCATTCAATAAATAGTGATGGATAAGTGGAATGTCAAAAATTTTTCCAAAATGGAAAACATCATATAAGCCTACCTCATCATAGATACAATAAAACGGAAGATAGTATTGAAAAATATACAAAATATATCCAAAAAACACTTGAAAGTGAATTTTCCACTTTATAGTAATTTGAATCATAATGACTATTACTACATGATGAATTCATTACCACCTTTTAACAGAGGGACATGATTATGGCATATTGCATTTGGAATAGAAAGGTTCAAAACTCGACCTTTTGGAATGGTTACAAATCAATAAATTCGGGAATTCGGGAATGTTACTCAATAATCAAATAGATTTGAATTGTTCCCCTCTATTAAATTTAATTTGTAATTAGGATGGATCTCAAAAGTAGGAAAATAAAGTCGCAGGTAAAACTTGTATTCATTATTCTCCAGTTTAATGAGTTGTTACTAGAAAGGTAAATATTTCAGGTAATGAATTTATCACATAGACAATTTTCAATTAGTAATAGTCATTAGGATTCAAATTACTATAAGAGCAAGATACAGAATTCGTTAAGTCAATATTGTAAAGCTGAAGATGCTATAATATAGCGAAACACGTGTCCCGTTTTTGTAAACTTTCATGTGGAAATCTCACACTGAAGTGAGTTTTTTGAATACGTCATTGTATAAATTCAGAACTGAATTGACAGTGCTTTCCTAAAATGGGTACAGTTATGAAATAATCACAGAAAGCTAGACACCATTTGGACCCATAATTGATCACAATGACTGTTTTTTACACAATTATATAAATGAATTAATTTTTTTTTTCATGTTAAGTAATGAGCTGACTCCATCTATTGTGCAACCAAATGATCTATTCCAAGGTTCATCTAATGGTTGTAAAATAAAGTTTTTGAAAACATTTTCTTTCACTTGAGAAATATAACTGCACATTTTTCATTAGTTTTCAGTGATAGTCTTATATATAATTTTATATGTATTTGTCTGAATTAGTAAAATTAAACTTTCACATGTAATATTCATTTCAACAAATGAAGCCATTTTTGAATCCAATAACTGTCCATTTCCGTATATTGATGACTTTTACCACTTTTGTATATCAATTGAGAATAAATACCTATCCATTAATATTATTATTAATGATCGATTTGAACTTACCTTTGCCAGCTGAGTCAATACTTTCTCATTCTTACTGTGCGCCATGATCTCAACCGTAACGATGTAAAATTGCTGTTCGCCTAATTTCTCTTTCAAAAAATCTGACGTCAAACTGGTGGGATCATCCCATTCTGAACTCTTCTCGTTGCTTGTGTACATGTAAGTCCTTTCGCAACCAAGCACTTTGAGGAAGTAGTGGAACTGTTGATCCTCTTCTTCAGATCTCAAGTGTTCCACAGAGCAAATGAAGACACGTTTGTGAGACTCGACTTCCTTTTTCACCAAAAACAGCCGATCGTCTTTACACAAGAGGAACTTCTGCACCAGGGTGTCATTGAACCTGAGCTCGAACGAGTCATTTTTCAGGAGAAGATCGGGATGTTTCACCTCGAAATGGGGGAGCATCTCATTGCGGGGGCCCTGCCACGTGCATTCTGAGAAGCCCACGCTGGGACAGTCAAACTTGCGGAACTTGCAGCTTATCTCGTGTTCACTCAGTTTATTTGGAGTCAGGTTTTCATGACATCCATTGGCAGTGTGCCTGCAAGGGAACAACAAGTACTGGGAGATGGTTTCATAAGCTTCATCCCTGATGTATTTGGATTTATCGGTGATGGGACATCTACCGCATACGGCTCCGCTGCTGTCATTTTTTGTATGGATGGGGAATACTGAAAGGTAAAGGCTGCAGTTCAGGCAAACCATTTTATCCAGGATATCGGCTGGGATAAAAAGCTTCGACATGTTGAAAATGAACTGAAAAATGCAATTTTTTAACAAGAAACAATGATAAAAAATCTATGACATAATATATCATTCACAAGATTGGGGAAACCCAGAACACCTATGAGCGATCAACAGGTAGTTACTTACGTCAAATCAATAAGTAACACTAATGTCGATTGAAAATTACTAAATGCTCTCCTTTCCAACTCGTTATAACCAATTACCAAGCATAAAATATGACTAATGATTATTACACGATAACTAAAATCTATATACCACTTCACATTCAAGGATATTAGACAGAGTAGATTGTCAGATTTAGGTTTTCACCGATTTTATTTTGAACAAAATACGCGCTCTCTGGTGGGCAAAAAATTTTACAACTCCCAATACAAAATTCAAGGTCGAGTCGAACCTGGACGGACTCTTTTTTTTGTAACAAAAAATCGTGGAATACTAAAAAATGTAGATAAAAATCTTCAGCAAGTATGTATTTCTGCTGGATTTGGCCGATAATCTTCTCAAGGTCAATCCTCATTGACGATTTAACGTTCTTCAATAATACCAATTAGGAAATTGAGTGGGAATAACAGTTTTGGTAGAATGGTAAAAAAGTATACTAAAGTCTGTAGACAACAATCGCATCGCATGTTTTCTGTCACATTAATCGACACATATGGTCGATAGTTCATATGGGATGGATGGTTAATTTTTTATAGTCAATGTTGTAGTGAAAATGAAGGTGAAAGTTTATGTTGCATTGAGAGAAATATTGTTTACTGCAAACGTACTGAAAGTATAATTCATTCTGAACTCATCAAAAATATATGGAACTTGTCAGTGGAATTTTCAATAAAACACAATCGAACTTGTAACTTTACCCTTCTGTAACAAATACATCTGAAGAAAGTTTATCACTATCGCTATATGAGGTTGAACATAAAAAAAACTATGACATATTGAATCTCACTTTAAGCAAGGCCCACAAAGATATTTCATAAAGCATTGTGACCTATGTTTCTTTGATAACAAATAGAATAACCGAACACATGCATTATTACCCATTTTTGTCAGGAATTTGAGTATTTCCTCTTTTTGTCTATATACCGGAGATTGTTTGGCATATTCATATTCTTAGGTACTTTGTGTCATGAATACGAGCTCCATCTATCATTGACATCTTTAATCACGCAAGCTATGAGAGAAGTATATGGAAGCCAGCAACATTGTTATTGTTAATGGTCCTGGAAATGATTTTTTTGCAATATGAATATGTAAAACTGAGTTTTGATTTCCGTCACTGAAAACTCGAAACGAATGCGTTTTTTACTGCTGTTATAATAGCCGCGTACAATACCCAAAAGAACATAACACGTTTTATTGAGAACAAAAGGATATGATTCTATGAAAACAGCTAGTAAATCAGTGTTGATATTGCTTTGCTGTATAATGTCTGAAAGAAGGAGGATTTTTATACCACAAAATTAGTCTGTCTTTATAAAGATCTATTGTTTTAAGTTCAGCTGCTCCCACTGCTTGGAGGGCGATAATGGCATACCATATCAAATTATTTCTGTGCTATTCTTTAAAAAATCATGAATCTATTCAAACTACCTGAATTCAATAACTTGTTTCCCTAACCAGTAATTCAGAAAGAACATGTGATTCTCGGAATTTTTACAATAAGAAAAGAGTCCTCTGAAGACGACAAGTCACCTGTTGAGTGAACTGAATAATACAAATGGGTTCATTTATCAATTCCTTGTAAAAATAAATACTAAAAATTGACAAATTCATGGAAAATAGTAAGCAATTTATACCTTTCAGTTTCTTCATGTATTGCATTTGACAATTTCCAGTTTTACCAACTCAACGGAAGATAACCATTGAAGATAATGAAAGTAACTAGAATTTTTTATTTAAATTTTTGACCATCATCGACTGCCTCATAACTTCTAATACCAATGTTTAATTGAATGGAAAACGAAAACTATGAAATTAAGGCCGAAAAACTGATATATAAATTGAGATCGCCATCCACTGAATTGACAGAAAACTTGAATAACAAATGTCAAAGTTAAATGAAGGTTCTAGACGAGATCCTTTGAAAAGCCGGACATAAGAAATCGGTTCCTCTATCTTTCTGTAGTTTTCATTGCCATCAGGCAACTAGATGCTTGCAAAGCCCAAAAGGGTAAGTAGTAGAGTAAAAAGAGAAAATGGAAATGTATACTCTTAAGGGTTTGATTTGATTACATTTTTTCTTCTCCTTTTTAGTACTTATAAATGAAAGCTTGTGTTTTGAAATGTTGTTTTACTAATTAATTCTTATTTTACAAATAGAATGTGGAGAATTTACATAAATAATTGAAAATACTAGAAAACTCATGTGCTCTAAAATGACAGTTTTCATTGGAAAAAATAAAACATGTATCTATTATTACCTCACTATGTAACAATCCTCATCTTCGTTTTCATCGTCATGATTGAAAGGATACGAGACAGTCTCCATCTCCAGCAGGTTCTCGTAATGATTGTTCAGGATGTGGTCGTACATTTCGTCGAAGATGATGAGTGACTCGCAGCCAACGTACTCCTGCAGGGGGCACTTGAACGGGCCAAAAGAGCACGTCGCCTCGTGAACTTTGATGTTTTTGGCTTTGGCTTTGTAAGAGCACCTCTCGTATTTGCACGGGTAGGTGATGTGGCTGATTATTTGGGCCAGCGCATAATTTTGAGTGTTCCCGAACTCTTTCTTGCACGTGGGACATTCTTTGACTTTTTCTTTGCATTTCATGCATATGCTGTGGCCGGTAACGCATTGGTGGATAGGCGGGACCATGTACTCCATGCAGACCTGAATAGGGGCGATAGAAAAGTAGAAATATATACTGTATATTGATTTTGAGCTTGCAGAAAACTATATAAGGTGTTTTCACGTTACTTGAAATTATTGATTAGTTTTTAAACTTCCTGAATGGCATTTTACTGTATGGTTTTGAGTTTTGGAAATATTTCTGGAGTTAAGTCATCAAATGTTGCATCACAAAGATACGAGAGCTGTATGAATACTGATTTGCTCAACCGAGTGCCATTTACAAAGATACATCTCTATTTCTTACATGTAAAACACCCAATTGCAGAAAATGCTTCTTACAAGGCTAAACAAATGTGAATAAGATAAATCGATATCACCACTATTCAAAACCGGAATTATCTTTGCAATTTTTAGTTTTGATGGAAATACACCAGATTTCAGAATCAAGTTGACAATACATGTAATTGGTTGTAGTAGCCCAGATAGATTTTCCTTGTACATAACCAATCAAGCGAGCCCGAGTTTTTTAGGGATTTGATGACTTCATTCACCTCTGCAGTATCAGTTTGATAGAAATGCATCAAGTTATCAGCATTGCATGGAACTTGGCGGAGATAGTTTGTGAATGAATTATTGGGTGTGCTCATGTCATTATTCATATCCAGAGCTACATTTATAAAAGTCATTTAACTGATCTGATGTAAGACAAGAAGAGCTGTTCGTGTGATTATTGCTACCTATGTTTTTATTTATAAGCTGCCAGATTGTTTTTTGTTCGATTCGTTCAGTTCAGTACCATATCACCACTGAAAAATTAAATTAATGTCATTTTGTAGAAGCATGTGCTTGGTCTAAATCTTGAGATCATCGGGATAAAGTAATTTTGGAGATACAATTATTTGAGAAAAGTCGACAATAAACAACGTTAATAAATTTGACAGACATTGTGATATTCATGTATATCCTTGCAAAATTAAAATCTACAAATAAAAAGTTTTTTCTCTAACACTGTTTTTATAACATTGAGGAAGGAATATATTGACATGGCATCCACTTGCGAAAGACCTCATTAAATCCCTATATTATTGATTTTATAATTATACTTTTAATTGCCCTAACTCTTTACTTTTATATATATTTTTTCGATAGATGATTTCATCTTTGTAACTCCATACAAGGATTTCTATATTCGTGACTTGCCATAAATATACTATAGTATGTAAAATGGTCAAATAAAGTACTCTACTCTAATAATGAACACAGCAGTGAGCCAAGATTGGAACCCTGTGGCACCCCCGATTTGACTAAATAATTCATCAATTCATGATCATCAATTTCAACAAACTGATACCTATTGAATGAGGAGTAGGAGTATTATTGAGAAGTAGTTGTTTCAAAAAGGTTTTTTCTCACATTTTGTATCTTCTGTGCATAATCTACCGTCTTTGTAAAAAGTTTTCATTGTAGTTATGGCCTTTCTTCCTTCCTTTGAAGGTCATCCACATTTTTAGTTTAATGATGCAGGAGTATGAAGCCAAAGGTATTTCTTTTTTACCAAAATACATATTTCTCTGGAAAATATTTCCTTTTCAATATAATTTTCATGTACAAACAGGGTGTATTATAATATGGAAGGACTAAAATAAATGTTCAATGGATCCATCAAAAAGACAGTGGAATGCGTAGTTGACTAGAATGGAAATAAATCCTAAAGAAACATGACATCATCACTGTCGAATATTCACAACTTTACTGGATGGATTAAATGACAATGAAGCAATTGAACAAAATAGTAACTAGAAAGAATGATTAGACCTACCAAACACTCCAGTTCTCGAAGAAGTTCATAGTCCAAGTCACTGTCCTCATCTTTGTTTTCACAATTATTAATCAAAATCTCCTCACGAAACACCTCAATCCTTGCCACAATAGACAAAGGATCATTCAGTATGCTCCTGATTATTTTGCTATCTATTTCTATGGGGCAATTGAGTTTTTTGGTGAGCTCATGAACCTTCGATTTGTTCCCACTCTCCAATATAATTTTGTAGGAATATTCTTCAACAACTTTGTTGCTGCCAATGTAAGTCACGTTGCAGCAAAACGTGCCAGTCTTAGAGTCAGTAGTACGGTTTACCATAAACAAATTTTCCCCATATGGGAGGAGATAGTTCTCCTTGTGGCTGTTGACGAAGTCTATCTCAAAGTTTCCTTCACTCAGAAGGAACAGAGGATGCTCCTCCTCGAAATGCGTCAGCAGATCTTGAGATAAGCCCCGCCACCGGCAATTCATATCAAGAGTGAGGCAAGAGTATTTTCTGTAACTGCATAACCTCTCATGCTGGGGGATATCCTTAGGGAACAGATTTTCTAAGCATCCATTCTCTTTGTGGCAACAAGGAAACTTTTGGAACTGGGCGAGATTTTCATATGCCTCATTTCTTATAGAATTTTCACCAGTCGGACACCGCCCGCAGGTCGGACCATTCGGGTTGAAGTAAATGGGGAAGTGAGACAGTAGGTTTTGGCAGTTGACACATAGGAGCTTCTTCAAAGAGTCGGTGTGGGCAAAGTTCATCATGTTTTTGTCCTGGCAATGAAAATATATATAATAATAATAATATTGATGTTTATTTCTTTGGTTGAAAAGTACAGTTGAAAGAAAAACAATCAATGCACAATAACAAAGAAAATGTCAAGTCCAAAACTGAATATAAAAAACAAATGAATGTAAATAACTACATGTAACAGTATTATAAAAGACATTCAAAATAATAAAAACAACTCAATAACACAGACAGCCTAAAAGTATTGACAAACATCCATAGAAGTAAAAAAATAAATAGTTGTTGACTATAAAAAACAACACAAAATTTTTCAAGTATTCAGTGAATCAAAGCAAAACACTTAAGAGTAAACACTATAACCAAATTTGCTAAAGATGAAGATCTCAGGTTAGTTGATTAGTAAGTTCTTGAATAATGTGACAAATCCTTTGAAGTAGCATTTTTTTCAGCTGACTTTTGAATATATTAATATCTGAATTCTTAAGAGTTACTGGAAACATATTGTATAATTTACAACCACTGTACTCTAAGCTTTTTTCATACAAAGAAGTTCTATGAGCGATTGGTAAGATTAGATCTTTAGAACAAGTATTTTGGTTATGTTTTGGAAGAGAGGAATGAAAATTGGATTTCTTTCTGTAATTGCATGTACTAGCCTCGTAATATATAAGTACTGGCTACCGTAAGAATTTTTAGCTGTTTAAAAGCATCTCTACATGTATCTCGGTACCCTAGTTTAGCTATTAAGTATATTTCTGGAGGAGAAATGAAGTCAAATATAAATACATAACATCCGTATGTGTTGTACACAACTCCAAACAATATCGAATAGAGACAAAAGATGGTACTGAATTATGTCTTTGGCCTGCAGTAATAAATTGATTCATTCAAACTCTCTAAAACGCCACACTAAGATAACGTTTCTATACAAGTATATTGCAAAAAAAAAATCCATTTCGAAACCAACTGAAAAGCTATTTAGCCATATACCTTTAGGCATCACATTCCTGAACTTATAAAAATGAAATTAAATACTCTTCATTGTCGAAAAATGACATTATTTGGAAAGCTAGAAATCACTGCTCAAACACTAAATTCACAAATTCCTCTAGCTGATACCTAGAGAAAATAGATTCTCAAGATTGAAAAAAACATCTTAAATTACTATGCAGAATTGATGAAAACATTGTAACTAAAAATAACACTATCTAAAATTCAATATCATTCAAGCCTTGTTAATCACAAGTGTATTTCCCTTCATTGTATTCAAAAAAGAGTTAATTAACAACAAAGATGAGTCCGCCATTCTTGAAAATTACGAGGCTCTTGAAACTTGTCCTGTTTGAATTGAATGAATAAAACAATTTAGCTAACTTACCTTTCAACAGAGATGAAAAGTTACAAAAACGCAAATAAAACAAAAATTACTCATGGAAATACCCGGAATTCTAGAAGCAACAAGTATCAGGCGACATTGACATCGACGTTTTCGGGTATATGACCGTATATGGTCTGTGGTTTTCACGCTGATAAAAATTTTTGACATTGAATCACAGAACGCGCAATGTGATCGGTTATTCCCAGCGAGCAGCTCTGTTTTTATCATAAGCGAACAACAATGCTTTTGAAAGAAGGAATTCAATATAAATTGTAAAGAAAATATATTTGAAGAAGTAGGAAGTCGAAGCGATATTTTTCGTGCATAGAAGGCTTGTTACTTTGCAAGCCACTCACTAATATTAGTATTCGAATTGAATATTGATGGCTTTCCAATGATATAAATTCACTGAAACTTATCAAAATCAGTTGAAAATATGATTAATTAGAATATTTCCAAATCGTGAAGGATTAAATCCTCAAATTCTCATGCCTTCTTCCTGATGTTATGTGTTCAAGTTCGAAGTTTGTGGAAAAAATAATATATATTTTTATGGCCCTTCCACGCTGTCGTAATTTTCATGCTATCCTCGTCAAAAATTATTTGCAATGACCTACATATTGATAAAAAAACTCACTCGAGTTTGCTGTTAAAATTCACAGCGCGTTTTAGAAATAACATAAAAACCATCTACCTGTTATTCAAGAAAAATATAGCACATCACTGATATAAGGGAGCACTTATACCAATCACTGATATAAGGGATCACTTCAATTTATTTGTCAAAATGTCACATGTTTATAGAATGACATCTGTCGCGTGAATTTTGTTCAGATCTTTAATTTATGAACCATAATGTTAAAAAATCATTCACTTCTCTTTCTAATTTCTTTGGCCTTTGCTTCAAGCGCATTTGGCCAGGCTTCTCCTGTCCATAGTGAATAAAAGCTTCGTTCGAGGTCGCAGCAATCTCAAGGCAATGCGGCCAATCAAAGTTTTTTTCATCCACCTTAAAAAAAAAACACTTCATTTTTTACTGATCACCTTCTTCTCGGAAGGCATTTAAATAAAAATAACACAAACTGACGGAATTCGTTGAATCCATCGACATCTAGCCTGGTCACTTGCGTAGACGGCCACTTCAGTTTTTATTCAAACGCAACTTTATTTTAGATTACACTTTTTGGACTCCACTCCGACCACGACATCTATTTGGAGAAGTGCGTTTATGTGGAATAAACTTTCTGAGAACGTTTTTTCAGATGGATTTAATTTCCAGCGATTCAAATCCAATGTGATTCGTTACTTTCGCACAGGCACCGCTCTTAAAGCGCCTTGAGGATTTTTCTGTGGTACTTGTGTTTTGACTTTAAGAAATACCGCTCTATGTTGCGATCGGAGAGGAAGTCTTTCACTTACTATCAATTTATTAACAAATGTGAACAACATTGGAAATTAAAGTACAAATTTGACATTGTCAAGCATTGTTACTTTCGAATGTACCGAGTACAACTGTGAATGAAATGTCGAAACTTGTTGGATCTTTTCGTTATTTATCAAGAGTGCCATAGATCGAGAGGTTTTGACTAAATATTTCACAAGGGATCATGCATACTATGTATACTATGCATATTGAATCAATTATTTTGATCCTTATTAGTGTATTCTAACTATGCGCGAGTATGCACTGCATCATCGCTGCAATGTGCATCTGGTGCAGATGGAAAACTGGAAAATGGGTCAGTCGGTCTTTGGGATTCGTTGTGTCCCCAAACTCTTAATTTCGGTCACCGTGACAGTTCATTTCAAAAAATTGAGATGGTACGTGAATATCACACTAACTTTGACATATACAATACGTTTTTTTCCATTTCAATCGGAATTATTTTCGACTTTGTGATCGAAAAAAAAAAAAAGAAAACTCGCAAAATTGGTCGCCAACGTGTTTTGGACACAGGAGGAATATCAGTGAAGTTCTATTATCCATTTTATCGTTGGTGCTTTTTCGGTTGTGCTTGTTTATAGTTTCGTCATCTGGAATGACGTGTTCTTTGAAATTTGAAATAATAAATTTGAGAAGTTTTATTCCTGAATATTGACGTATTTTCCACTTATTAACAAGGTTTAGCGTTTCTCACAGATAACCATGTTTATATTGTTGATAACAAATCTTTATTGAAGTTGAAAGTATTTAGTGAAAATTGAAATCACAATATCAACAGGTTCATATTCTTCAAAATACTTTTTCGTGAATAAGTCGATATAACTACAGAAAAATTCACTCGATTGTTTATTTACTGCGTAATATAAACTACTGAGAACTGAGAACTGGAAACTACTTATAGGTTTCATCTATTGAACCCAGGGAACTATCCCCAGGTACTGAATACAAATCGGAAAGAGAAGATTTCAAACAGATTTTTGTGTCCGTTGAAAGTTATTTTTAAAGGGATCATAAGCAAGTCCTATATTTTTCGGGGGTTATATGAAGCTCTCGAAAGTGTATGATTTTTATAATCCTGAAGTGAAAAAATGAAAACTTGAAAGCCTTGAAAAATTGTAAGCAAGTTGAACGATAATTTGCTCAAAGCTCAATAATTCAGATACCAATTATGACTGAAATATTTTCTAACCGAACGCCGCACAGAAAATGGAGAAAAATAGTACCTAATAATTTAAATTTTCATATGCAAAGTTGATAATTTCATGTTTGGCTTTTGGAAAATCAGATTTTATATCGAAGAGGTCATACATATTGTCATGCTGTATGAATTAGTGGATTCGTGGGGAGGAAAACATGGGTTTGACCCCCTAACCGAAAATAGGGATTCAAGACCATTTATTCTTGTACAGTTGATTTTACGTTTACCATTCTTTGATCAACTAATTTGTACACTATTAGATTAGATTAGATTAAATAGCACTATATTTCTCACAGGCATTCACCCAATTACAGGAAATTTTCAAGAGTTGATAAAAAATATATGCAAAACAGGCTAATTATTTAAAAAAATAGCGATAGCTGGAATACAGAAAACAGAAATAGAAGATATCATAAGAAGGAAAAAAGTAAAAGAAATCACAGTTGAAAGGTTCAAGTGGGAATACATTTTAAAATATAACTAAGAGAACTATCATTAATATCGCACATATCACAGATTGAATTGCAGTTGTTACAAATTATTGACACTGGTGCTTTGAAACTGTTATTTGTTATTGACAAGAAAAACGACTGTTTTTGATATGAAACAATAATTTCATAAAAATCGCCAACACGTTGCATAAAGAGTTCACTTTCCACAAAATGAAAATTTTTTCTTCCCCAATTTTTGGATATATCTCAGTAGTGAATTGTATCAGAATCGATTGAAGCCGTTCTAAAACTTTCAGCAAGTTACTCTCTAACTTGGGTTATTGTTTTCAACAAGATTTTCACATGCACCACCTTCAATTGACGTCATGAGGCTAAAACTCATTTTGCATTTCAGGTCTATGAAAATCATACTTCTTCAACAGGCATCGAATGACCCTTTGAAAATTCACCATGGGCCTGTTATTGTATTGCATGATTTTATCTGAGACGTATAACAATGACAAGTACCTATAAGTCATCGACTGCGCTCTCCAGGCTATTTTTATTTCATACGAATTAGACATAAAAATAACATATTTTATTACCAACATGAACATACCCTACCTAATTACAGAAAATGGTTACATACATAATATCTAACTTATAATTATAATTTCACGATTACCAAATATTACAAAATATGAGGTGTAAACAAATATTAAATATATAAAGACATCAGATGCTGATATGATCATTATTCATACTAGATACGATTTTCTTGAATCGCTGCACATATTAATGATTTTAAGTCAACATTTGATGGGGGAGTGTCAGAAAAACCGTTATCTATATTCTTTATTCACGAAATCAAACTGTTCCTAAAGTATCTATACAGTGTCTATAAACAGTTTGAAAGACGTAGCAAACATATTGATTTGAGGGTTATCCTATATTTAACTATTATATTTCATCACACCTGGTATTCGAGATTGGTCTTTTTTGCTAGCAATGCATGTCCAAAAGTTAGAACAATCACTTAAAATATTGCATTCAACAATGTAATTTTGTACTCAGCTGTTTTTTCGAATTGACGTTTCGGGAAAATAATATTCAACTCTTTGAAATTCTAATTTTTTCAGCGTTTCTTTTTGATCAATACTCTGTCAAATGCTGACATTCAATTCACACTTACAACTGTTTTCCTTATCTACACAATGCGTACGCTTGCAAAAAAATATAAAAGCCAATTTGTACATTTTTTATCGTACTTATATTCATGTTCGCAATTTTTGCAAATGTATTACCCAATGAAAACTGAAAAAAACGACCTTATCAGGTATTGATGATGTGATTATGGGATAACGATTTCAATTTTTTTTTGAATAAGTAATGATATGCTTGTGTGTGATGATTTATTATGTAAATAAAGAATACTTTTATTACATGCAAGTAATCAAGGGTGATGGACGGAAAACGATAAGATTGAACTTTCGAAAATTAACTCAAGTAAATCGCAAGTTGAAATGAAGTACAGTATCTCTGATAAAAATATTACTAACTATACTACCTAAACTATTTTGTGAATACAATTGAAATGCTTTATACATTATTACCTACAATTAAATATATATTTACAGCAAAAATGATAATGACATATCATTATTTATCAATCATTCCGAAATGAAGATTTTCGTGGAAATAACGCTGCCATAGGGCATTTTACAGATTATGTACAGATATTTAAACTTAGATAAAATATTATTGATGATAGGGGTGACACAGACCCCCAGAATGAAACCAATTCTCTGTAAAGGTTTAAAGTATAAAATAAATAAAAATTTTTATTATTATCGGTGCTGATTGGTAAAATCATACGTGAAAAACGTATATCTACAGTACAATACAATATAATACAATATCAACTGTGAATAATCATTTTAATGATCATCATTTTAATGATCATAGGAACCGTCAATAGAAAAAAAAGAATATAAAATAACAAAGTGTGCACATACAATTTAGCATGTGAGTCCTATATAGGGCGAGAAAAACAAATCAAAAGTGTATTTTCATAAGTATGAAAGTAGAGATAGGAAATGTTGGACATGAAATTAATTCTAGAACAACACGTTATGCGAATATTGAAAATATTCTCTTCTATAAATTGCAATCTGTCGATATTACCAGAGGTTGAATAGTAAATTTTATTCATCCAACATAATATTCGTTTTAATGTTTTATCTTAGACGGTACCAAAGTACCGTAATAAGTAAATTGCAAAACTGGTGGTAGTCGATTTATCTGATGAAACTACACTAAGGCTGCCATAGTAGGGATTATTTTGGAGATCACCTTGCAAGATTTTGTCTTGTTCATTTTTTTAGCCTAATGAAACAATGAATCCGATTTTCTAGTTGCAGTTTCATTGGACGCAGTACCTCCTGTGAGAGTTTTTCATGTTTACATTTTACCCGATATCTGAAAGAGATAAAAAACATTGGCAACAGATAAACAACTTGTATTTTCCAAAAAAAAATCAACAAGCATTATTTTTCACATTTGCTAAGATAAAAATGAGCTTCAAAATGAACAATGAAACTTTTGTTTAGGAAATCAATTTTAAAAATTTATCAAAATACTACAAAAATTTTTGGGAATGGAATAACAACATTCAGAGTGTCACATTCTGAAGTTGGTTAGGTATGTAATTATCTTGAAAATAAAAAGATGCTTCTTTTTTAATTTCCACTGGGAACTTTTGAATTTCACAACGCTATGATAAAGTGTTTTATCGAGCTCGGCTTCAATTAAACATTACATACAAACATTTTTTCAAAGTGAATTTGGTCTGTTTTTACGCAAATTTCCATCTGTCTGGGGGAAATTTGCATCACATGTTCGGAATTCGACCTGTGTTACACATTTTTTGAATAAATAAATCCAAAACCTCCCTTTCCAAAAAATCAATCCTTTCTAAAAATATACCTGTTTCAATTTAATTTATACATATCTTTCAAAATATATTGAAGCTGTCTAAATGAATGTTCCGCGGTTATTTTGAATATTGGAAAAAATTGCGAGAATACAAGACAACACTTTCTCGAGTATATTCCAAACATTTCTAAAACTCACCTGACTCTGTGATAAAAAAAAAAATGCATCGCGTTCTTCATCTCCCAATACAGATAAATTCATATTTGATTTCATTTCGATTTTCAGCAAGAAATATTGTGCACAAATGAATATTTTTGAATCACGTCTTCTCGGAAATTATACACTGTACCAATATTGATGACATTCATTAGTCATCATCATCGTTTTAATGAAACTGAGCACTGACGATTCAGCGGTTAACTGATGTATACAAGTTTCTTAGACGTACAAGGCAAGTATATATACTGATTGATAGATGAATGGATATTTGTGGAATTTCTATATAATCCTCTGAAACCCCAACACACCTACACATTCCTCATGAACTTATCAAATATAGGAATATATTTAGCGATAGTAGGTACTACAGAACAGAAGTCACGCTGCGGTTTTTCTCATTCATGATTGATACTTAGAAATCATACGATGACATACGTGCATATTCAATGACTCCATTTTTGAACACTGTTTTTGTTCTATACGAATATTTAATTTGTTTTCTAGACCTTTTTTGGTTTTCACTTCTGATTATTTTAAAAGCAATTCATGAAAAATTTTGGAAAATATTGGAAATTTAAAGAATTCAAATTCAGTCAATGAAGCATTAGTCTATCTGTAAACAATTTTTTCAAAGAAAAAACACAAGCACTACAGAAAAATCCTTAAGGCACTGTAAGATCGGTGCCTGCGCGAAAATAGCGATTCACATTGGATTTGAATCGCTGGAGATTAAACTCATTTGGAAGTTTATTCCCAGGAAGTTTATTCCACATAAACGTAGTTCTCCAGATGGAGAAAGAGTTCTTAGATAGTGAAGTTCGAGGTGTACTGAGTTGAACCTCAAAACGCTGAGTCCGTTGTGTATTTCTGATATGTACCGCTTCTGGTAGATCTGTTTGAAAATCTGTTTTTCCGTTAATCAGCTGTCGCCCCCATACGAACGACAAGTCTCAGAAGTTGAGAAACTTGTGCGAGCTAAGAACTAACGAGATCTTACCTTTCAACATGTGATTCCTAACACGGATAACTAGATAGATAGTTTTATTAGTCCTTTGTGCTACATTATGTAGATGGGACAGGTCATATTTCTCAGGTATAATATAAATGTGTAATAATATAAGATGTCATTTGAATGAAAAATAATGTGACACACATTGTAAAACAAACACAAACACATTGAAATATAAGTAAAAAATAGAAATAGATAAATAAACAAACTGTTACGATATATACGTCACAATGCCAGTGATCTGACATTACCAACTTCAAGTATAAATTCATCTACTCTATAGAAACCTTTTTCTGATAGAAACACTTTCAACTGTATTTTAAAAACTTGAGGTGTCAGTGTCTTCATATCGCATGTCAGTATATTAAAGAGACGGATACCAGCAAACATAGGAAACATTTTATACTTTGCGTCATGGTGTTTTGGGTGATGAGCATATGGTTATTCCTAGTATGATAATTATGGACTTCCGATCTCGACTCCAGTTATCTTCTATTTTCATGAATATACGCTAATGTTTTTAGAGTGAACAAACACGCAACAGTTAGTATTTTATTTTGACGAAAAATCTCTTTACATGACGTTTTGTAATCTAGATTGAAAATTAGCCTCAGTAATGCTTTCTGTTTTATAAAGATTCTGTCACCTCAGTTGCTAAATCCCAAACAGCAATGTTGTTGTGAATAATGGACTGAAACTTAGCGAAATAAACTGATATCAGTGACTTAGTATCCAATTTATTCTTAAGGGATTTAATGAGATAATACGATTGGTTCAATTTATTGGATGTGAACTCTATATGTTTTTGCCAAGTGAAATGTGAGTCCAATTATTGTTCCTAAGAATTTTGTTGAGCTTGTTGATGCCAAGGATTCATTCCGGAAAATGAAATTGAAATCATGTAGGCTCGGAGATGAATTTGCAAATTCCATGCAGACAGTTATTCTCAGGTTAACTATGAGTCTATTGCTGTAACACCAGCCTTCAAATTCGTGTAGGACTGAGTTTACAAGGTTATGCATTTCTTCCGTTGTTTAACTTGAAAGAATAATGAAAGTGTCGTCTGCGTAAAGGTATATCGCACCATTACTTATATTATTAGGTATAGATCATTCACATATAATAGAAAAATTAGTGGACCGAGTACACTGCCTTGAGGTGTCCCATTTGTTACAAGGAATTTATTGGATATTATATCATTTTGTTTCACCTGGAAATATATATTTGTTAGGAAATACATTATAAGATGATTTATGTTTCCCCGAATATCAATCTTAAATAGCTTATCTCATACGAATTTAATATTCAAGGTATCGAAGGCTCTACTCAAATCAAAAAATAAACCAACCACAATGTTTTTTTATCCATTGAATCATGTACTTCTTGTACAAAGTTGAACGTTGTAGTTTCTATCGAGAGATTTTTCAAATGTGCCGAGTCACTTGAACACCTCCCGTGAAAGTATCTATAGAAGAGAGACAAATCTCCAACGTTTCTTCGATGTTCTAGGCTATCAAGGTTGCACGTGATGTTCGCGTCTCCAATCAGGCGGATGGCTCTTTTCTGGATGGAATCCAGCAACTTCAGGGTATGACATGAAAACAATACTCCAAAGAAGGTCTGATCTGAGCTTCATAAAGCATCAAAAGTTGTTGAAGTGTGCACAGTTTTCTGGTTCGGAACGGTGTTCCAAGCTTTTGCGAAGCATCCTTTGCAATTCCTGCGACATGATTGTGCCAAGACATATTGGTGTCCTTCTAGATCCTCATTAGATAGGTAGGTAGGTCTAAAGTGAGTGGGTCTATTCGACCCTCCACCGCAACCCATAAGGGTTTATTGTGGCTCACACCTATTCACACTCGGCCAAATAAACCCAGCTTCTTAACGAAGTCGATAAGTTTGTATGGTGAGTGGTCTTTCAAGTCAGATGGTGAGAGTACGGATCTGCTGAACTCAAAGAACCTGATTCGGTCCTCAGTGGGGCAGGCCCAAAGTATATGCTGCGCTGTTTCATCATTTCCCAAACATAGGTGACACACACTATCTTCCAACAGTCCAAATGACGGTTACCTGTAAGAAGGCCTGTTAGACATCGTAGTTCATCCCTACTGTAGTCCAACAACTGTTTGGAATCAAGCTTCGAAGGGTGAATAAACGCATTGGAGTGAGCCAATCCTGGAAGATTCTGCCAGAAGTCCATAAATCTTTTTGCCATCCAGGTGTTCAGTGTTTGTTTGGCAAAGCCCAAAGCGATGCCAATGACAGGTTCTGGTCCAATGAAGCCGCTTGCAGCACCCTCCTTTGCAAGAGGGTCTGCAGCTTCATTGCCTTCCAGGCCAGTATGGCTACGAATGCAGACCAGAGACAATCTGTTAAGTCTTTCTATCGAGGAGAGTCGTTTTTGGCAGTTTGCTACCAATTTAGACGTTGGTCGGTAGGAGCCAAGAGCTTCCAAAGCCGCTTGTCTACCCGAGAATATTTTTATTGACTTGTGAGTGAGGTTGGATTTATCCAATCTCAGAATACAATTCGAAAGCGTGAATTTCCGCTTGAAATACAGTCACATAAGTTCCTAGGCAGGTAGATAACTTTGTTCTGGGTCTGCGACTGAAAACACCTGCACCATCTGTGAACCAACAACTATCTGCTTTTAATATTTCCGTCTCACGGTGGATCCAGTCCTCTTCACTCGGGAATAGTACTTTATAAGGCAGTTCGTAGTTGACAGTTGGAGGCATAAAGTCAGAGGTCATTTCCAGAAAGCTGTGACTTCCAATGTCAACCAACAGTCTGTTGCACTCTGCATTGAATTGATTGATTTGTGCGATTGGCAATGTGCCCAAGTCTGTATGCAGTCCATCTAGCCTCTCTTTCCAAAAAAATGTGATGAGGAGGTAGATCTAGAAGGATCTCCATGGCCGCTGACGGTGTGGTACTGATGGCACCACTGATAGCCAGACAAGCCTGTCTCTGTAAGCCAGAGAGCTTCGCTTGGGCTCATCCTCATTAAGATGTGTTTCCTCTTGCTGCCGGTCAAGATGTGCCTCCGTAGCCGATGTCCTAGAATCCAAGTGGAATGACGAGACAAGTGTGCTGTCGTCAGCAAAGCAATATATTGGATTCTTAGTTGTTTTCCAATAAGTTGGTGTTATACAATAAAAAGAGGGGTTGGAGACAATATGGATCCCTGGGGAACACCAGCGTTGATGGTTAAAGTATTCGAGAGATATCCATCGACCGCCACTTGCAGGGAACGTTTTTTCAGGAAGCTGAAGAGCTACACACAGAAATGATTCGACAAGTTATAGCATCGAAGTTTGGCCAGCAAATCCTCATGCCACACACGGCTTCAGAAATATCGAGAATATAGTGTGAACAGTATCATACAGAAATTTTTTATCCATAGCTTCATCTGAAGTTTGACTTTGGCAGCAATCTCTGCTCCAATCGAAATGAAAAGTAATCCCGTGATATGTAGCCACGTGATTAGTGTTATCTGTCGAATTTTGATTTTTCTACAAAAAACCTGAAAGTGGGGGAGGGGTTATTAGTCAAGTTATCAAAAAAGTCAATTGGAAAAGATTTACAAATAATAATAAAATGAAAAGTAATCCCGTAATATGCAGTCAAGTGAGTCGAATTTTGATTTTTCTCCAAAAAATCTGAAAGTGGGGTTATTAGTCAAGTTATCAAAATACAACTCAAGTCCATATGCGAAATTTCAGTGACATAAAATGCCTGATCTACATGTCTTATTCTCGACACGTTTTTTCTAAATTAACTGTTGTGAAAAGTTCGCCTCCTGCAAGTACGTAAGCTTCAGCTTCCCTTCTCATTGATTCGTGTACTCTTTGGAAACTTCCTAGAGTATTCCATATTACTTGTATTCTTCCTCAGTTTGACTTTGTTGACTGTACACCAAAGTCTTAAGATGTATCCAAATTTAATAATCAAGACTGTTCAAGTCTGAAGATCTAGCTGGCCATGACTCTATTCCCCCACGACCTATCCTGCGATTTTGAATGTTTTTCAGCTTCCCTTCTCATTGATTCGTGTACTCTTTGGAAACTTCCTAGAGTATTCCATATTGTTTCACAGGAAACGATTATGCTGTTTCACAATTCTTCCTCCAAAGTCTTGAGATGTCCCCAAAGAAAATAATCAAGACTGTTCAAGTCTGAAGATCTAGCTGACCATGACTCTGTTCCCCCACCACCAACCC